ACTGGAATTAACCTTACATGTGTTTGTTATCTGGAACGTTCTTCATTTTCCATTGTCTTGGAAAATGGAGAATAATAACAATAAAAGTGAATATTTGCTTTTGTGCAAGCCAGAGGATGAACTTAGTTTATAGTATGTAAATGTGAAGTCAAAAACTTATATGACCAAGTATTTTGTTTTCTTTCAACTCTGATGTACAAAAGCTAAGCTAGTTATTTGACTAAACTGTGTAATGAGTTGAACAGCTGAAGGTTGATCAACACCTGCATCCAGAGGAGCAGTCGCATGTCTTCAGTTTGCTTGAAGTACCAAGAAAAAAAATTAAGGGTTAAAACAGAAACAGTGCAAAGCACGCCACACCAAATCAATGTAAGATGATGGCAAACAGGAGCTTCCAGACCTGCTGGATTTGTTTCACTGTGCAATGTGAAGAATTTCTGGATTTTCAGTGACCAACTACGCAGAAGAAAAGATAATTATTTTTTGTTTTGCCAAAATCATTTTTTCATCATCAAAATTATTTTAGAATGGTGATGATGTGCTGCATGGCTTTTAAAAAGCACAACCAGATCCTAAAGGAAACACCACAGAAACCTTTGCAAGCATTTACTTCCTTATTTTCTAACTGGAATAAGTTATATGTGTTCTGCAAAGCCCTTCATTTCACCTGAACTAAACCTTTTCATTCCAGAATAGGAGTTCTGTCAGTGCTGTTTTGATCAAAATGAATGGACACTTTATAAACCAGTGGTGTCCAAAGTCGGTCCTTGAGGGCCGGTATCCTGCATGTTTTAGTTCTCTCCCTGGTTTAGCCCACCTGCATCAAATGATGCCTCATTAGAAGGACTAAGAGGAACATTGACTTGCTGAGGAGGTTGTTACTACCACTAGGGAGAGAACTAAAACATGCAGGATGCCGGCACTCGAGGACCGACTTTGGACACCCCTGTTATAAACGATTATAATGCTACAGACTTACATATGTGAAAAGAAAGAAAGGAGTACCCACCATTTGCTGTATATGAGCATCTACCAAACATTGACCTGATCGCTTCTTCATGTTTACCATCTATAGATTCATTCACAGTCGATGGGTCAGTAAATTAAATCCACTGATTCTTTGACCAGCTTTGTTTTGTGATAAGGAAAACAAAAACAAAAATCAGAACATTATTTTTTTGTTTGTATTGGTCATTAAGTGCATCAAATAGCAGCATGTTCATCTTTTGAGCTTAGTTAAATCTAATGAATGTTTGTTTTGATCCGGAAATGGGGATAATCCTGTAATTCCTTTATTTAATGCTGGATTAAAAACCATTACCTGTATCAAAGAACAAGCAGCACGCTTCATTCTCTCATAGTTGGCATTTGTTGTTTGATTGTTTACACAGATGCATCTTTGGAAATAGAATAAAACAGAATCAAGATCTAAAGGATCAGACTCTAAGGAAAACAGGCGATCTAAATCGACCAATTAAATCAACAAGCAGCAGAGAAACTGATTCCTGATTCTTTTCATGTGTTCATAAAACGAATCATTAGTTGTGACGCATGAAGCATTGGACGGAGGTTCAGTTGGACTCATCTCACACTGAGATTGCTCTTGTTGTCTCACACAGAGATCAAGCAACAGATAAAAAACATGAAACCAAGTGCATACAAGTCCATAAGTCTGAATCTGTCTGAATATGAAGGCACACATTTCTGTTTTATGTATGTGCAGATAAATATTCTATTTCCTACTATCAACAACTTGATGAAAGCTCAGGTTAGAGTGCAATACTGAATAATAAGACAAAATAGTTTAGATTCTGAGAAACCAGAACATTTTGGGTTTTAAACACAAGCGTAGTGATATTTTCCTCATCCAGTAACAACCTGCTATATAATCCACCAGTCATGTTTTATTAAAAAGCATGTTGGCACCAGTGTGAACCTGGAGAGCAGACGAAGTGAATCGTTTTTACAGTTATCAGCCTCAGACTGTCAGACGAAGAACTTCCTCCACCTCCATCCACTCCGCCTCCATCAGCTGTCAGTCTGACAGTCCACAGAAATCCTGACCTAAGCCTCGTTTTAGAACACTCTGACTTTCGTTTTACCCTGAAAGTAAACACGCCTAGGTTAGTTTGATGTGGAGAATCCAGCGGAGCACACTGGGAGTCTGAGCAGAACTGCTTTGCAGACAAACGCCTTCAGTCTCTGGATGCTGCACAGCTGGTGGAGAAATACTCGAAAAGCTCTGCAGCTGCAACTGCAGTGAGTTCTACTAACACACTGAATACTACAAACAAGCCACACCTTTCAGATTTTCATTTGCAACAAAAATGTCAGACTTATGTATTCCATGGTTCCTTCATCGATTTCTGTCTTGTGTTTCAGCGTAAGTTTGAGGGAAAAAAACAAATAGATAACTAAAAAGACTTTATTCATTATTATCTCTCTCTACTGTCATCTCTTTACTCTTCTGTCCTTCATGTCCTTTCTTCTTTCTACCCTTCTCTTTATCCTTTTTGATCTTCTTTCCCTCCTTTCCCCAAAATGTATTTTCTGTACTGACTTAACTCTGCTCTTCCTTCCATTTGTTCTTTTTTCCTTCCTCCCTCATTTTTCCTTCTCCATGTCCGTTTTTATTACTTTCCTTCTCGTGTCTTTTCTTCTTTCTTTACACAGGTCATTCCTTCCTTGTGGCCTTCTTTTCTTTCCTTCCTGTCTAGTGTCCTTTCATCATTTCATTCATTGTTGTCCAACCTGTCTTGTTTTCATTTATCCGATCTTGTCATTCTTCAATCTTAATGTATTTTTTTTACTATTTTCTTTCCTTGTTTCTTTCTTTTCTTCTATTTCGATTTTTTAAATGGACACAAGCTAGGATCCTGGAAAGTTAAGTCCTTTACTTCCCAGTTCTGTTCTACTTCATGTTTTCATATTTCTATGATAATAATTTTTAATCTATATGTTGCATCTTCCACCTCAGTCAGGGACTCTTGTGCTTCAATAAGTTTGCCTTCTGCCGTTAGTGTGGAACCTCTGGAGATGATGACGGTGAAAAGAAGGAACAACCCTGAACATCCTCTTCATTTCCCTTTAGGATTAAAAAACAATGTTGTATTGAGTCTAATTGAATTTCATAAACTGAAGTGAGAAGACGGCTAACTGACCAGCGGCTGCAGCTGAGTCTGACAGAGTGCTTCACCTTCACTGGCCACTTCCTGTGGAGACGAGCTGGTCATTACAACCAACACAGATGTTCCAGAGGTGTCCCTGCACATGGTGCGATTGATCGGAGCCGGTTCTGGGCCCGGGCCCGGTCGGAGCTGGTGACTTCAGCAGCAGCAGCTAGGAGAACCTGAGGAGAGCCTAGCTGCTGTAAAGAGACAGGAGGCTAAATGGATAGTTTGTATTCACACAGCAGGTCTTGACTCCAGCTGCAAGTCCTGGAGAAAAACTATTTTTCCTTTAAAAAAAAAAAAAAAAAACTGTCTTATCATACCCCAGGTCAGCTTAACCTGTCTTTCAGTCCGGGAGCAGCTCAGCCATTCATGCACTCCGGGGTGTGTTTGAGGAACGAAACGCACCATGAATCTGTAAACTGCACCTGTCTGTGTTCGGGCATCGTCTCTGTTGATTTGAACCTCTGCCTGATCCGCCTTTGAAATTCATACTGTCGAGGTGCAGCCTCTCTGAAACCCCACGTATGCAAAGATGTTCCTTTCTTTCCCCAAGTCACAGAGGAGATGCAATCGATTCTAAACTGTTTTTATGTTTATGAATTTATTCTGAGGCCAGGCAGGACTGATAAATGTGTTATAAATGTTGCAGAGGCCTGCATGGGAGGATCAGAGCAGGTACAGACGGTTACCACTGCAGATAGTGGCCAGAATAATCCACACATAATCCCACGCCAAACAGAATTAGAGGCGGATGGTGAGGCATGGATTCACCCAGTAAACTGATCTTACTGCACACAGCTGCATCCTGATGAGATGGATAAAGAGGATTCAAGTCCACCTCCTCAGAACACAAAGGATTTAAAAGCAAAAGGGAAATGAGCTGGATAGACTTGTTTCTAACAGCTTAACAAATAACAATAAGGCTTCAGGTCAGACATGTGCTTCAGGATCTAACTACTATTTCACCAAACCTAAAAGTCTAATTAAACCGAGTGGACCCTCGACTAGTTCTGATTGGTTTCACAGAGTCAAAAATTTGTGTAGAACATGACTTGAAATTATTCGCAAAAAATCTACTTATTTGCAGAATTTTTTTGTAGAGTATATACAAAAGTATTTGAAAGAAAACGCAGTTTGGAAGACTGACTTATCCCATGACACCATGGTTGGTGATGGCAAAGCATCTCATTTTGAGTAATATGATGTTAGCTTCTGCTAAATACTGCGTCGAGTTTTAGTGTTAGCTTCTTATTGTTGGTGTAGTGCTTTAGCATTAGTTTCTGCTAAATACTATTGGCATAGCACTTTAGTATTAGTGTCTGTTAGTTTCAAATTAAAAAATGCTTTATTGATCCCAATGTGAAATTAAATGTTGTTTCAACTCATTAATTCAGATTCTTCAAATAGTTATTGTAGACAGACTGTGGTCTGTATCACTGTGCATTTGAAGAAGCCTCTGACTAAAGACATGGTAGCTCCACTAAATACTGTGTTGTGTAGCGCTTTAGTTTTATCGGAACTAATGTTTATGATTAATGCTTCAGGGTTAGAGGTGGGGTGTTTGGTATTATGTTGAAAAAACAATGTTCTATGCCAATGTCTGCACCTAGACTGACGACAGTGCACAAAAGGAATAAAGCAGAATTATGCAGCTGAATATCTTAATAAATACCTACATTAGATTATATGATATTAGATTGGATTAGATTAGACTGGATTAGATTAGATTAGTAGTGTCCAAAGTCAGTCCTCAAAGCCCACTATTCTGCATGTTTTAGATATTTCCCTGGTTTACCTTAATTGAATCATTTAATGGGTCATTAGAATGTTCCTGCAGAACGTGATTACATGCTGAGAAGCTAATTGAATCAGTTGTCATTTGAAACATGCTGGACACTGTCCCCTTGAGGACTGGGATTGGGCACCACTGGATTAAGTTTGTTCATTCTAGGAGGCAAAACGTAAATCACAGCAGTATACAACATTGTATAGTGTGAACAACCTAAATAAACAGTATATGTAATGTTCAAAAACCTAAGAGATGTATACAGATATATAAATAAAGTTGAGGAACAATTGGGATAAAGACAAGTTATACTCATTCTGTGTATAATTTCATTTTAATAGTGAAGGAACGGATGATGCCATGTGAAGATCATCTCCCATATCGCCTCGCTTCACATTCAACACTGCAGAATCTTTAGGATTGATCAGAAAATAAACCAGACCGTCACAGATTTTTTTAAAATATTGTATTGCACTTGTCATGTATTCCACAAACATGCACCACTGCAACACAATCAATAAGACCAGTTAATCTCACCCCACGCTATGCAGATTTTTACTTACCTTGGGACACAGGACGACAGAAACTGAAAAACAAAGCGGTGAGTTACTTTTCCATTCACTCGGCTGATGCAAACAGGAGATCATGTTGCAGAAAATCTCCTCTATTTGCCCATGTTTAGACCCATGCGACATCTACATTTCAAAACACCAGCACATAAAGCATCCTGGAAAATGGTGAGGTTTGAATAATGAAATGAGACTTGGCATTTCAGCATGCATGAGAAAATGCTGCCTTTTACAGCCGTGCTCCATTCCATCTAAAAACATGGCCGTTCCAAATGTGTCAAGTAAAACTACAGAAGAAACGTTTGGTGTCTACATTTTCAGAAAAATAAAGCTGGAGGCAGAGCCTGTAGTTATCAATATTGTCTTTTTTGAAACCATCTCTACATAAAGACTATAAGTCTAAAATGTTCTTGGTAAATAAATATATGGTATGAACAGGGAGAACATCCAAACTCCATGCAGAAAGACCTTTGGCTGGGATTTGAATCCAGGACCTTCATGCTGCTTGGCAACAATGTTACCAACCGCAGCACTGATTTGAATCATCTTTCTATAAAATAGATTAGAGCACAGTTAAGCTGTAATAAATGTATAATCAGTGGGAATGGCTTTGTCTACATTTTAAACTAAAAAGGTTTACTTTGAGTGAATAGCACCCATATATGACCTTCATTGTGCACTGGTATTATATGGATAAAGTGAAGGAAGTGTAATGTTGAATAAACATGAGGAAACAGAGCAGAGAGAACATCTGAGGTATTGATGTATTACTGGAGGGTTCAACTTGTTCACTGACCATCTCACCCAGTCAGAGAGGCATTTATAAAACGAGGAGCTCCTTCAATAACACCTCAACAATATGTGTATTTTTTTTTTAAATGAAGTGGTCACACTTTACATTGTGTGCACAGAAATGTTTCCCAAACCTGTGTGTCTCACTGTTCTTATGTCTGACCGTGTGCAGTAACTTGAATTGTTGACTAAACCAATCAGCAACAGATCCTCTGTATTATCACAGCAAATTACAAGAACATTAATACCCATTAAACATAAACTTCTATGTATTTCGGGGGATTTTATGTGACGGACCAACACAAAATAATGCAATGAAAACGATGCGCAGTTTTCAATGTCTTTCCTAAACAAAAGAGTGAGCTATGCAACAGATCACTGTAACAGATCACTGTAACATATCACTGCAACAGTAAGCTTCCCTCTTTACTCTGACACTGCCAGCAACTGCTTTCACAGGTAATCTAATTATCAGTGGTGAGCACCGCTGACTAAAAATATATGCTAACTAAATCACTAATCATAAACATTAGTGAGACATTGAGTAAAGGATTCAGATGAATGAATGAATTCAGATGAACTACTTGAAGGATTCTTCACAGTCAATAACCAAAGCTTCAACACAAATGTTGAACTATACTGACAAAACAATAAAGTAAAATAGCACATTTCAATTTTTCCGGAAAAAAAAAAAAGTTAGAGGAAGCTAAATGCACTAGGCGGTTTTCAAAGTTAGGAAAACTATTAAAAGAATTAGCGCATTAGCAGAAGCTAAACTAAAATTTCCAAATAAATTCAGCTGTTCTGTTTCTGGTCTCAGAGGTTTCTAGAGAACACTAGTGGACAAACACCATCATAAAGACCAAGTATCACATCAGACATTAGTTTATTAAACAATATCCAGAACCTGGATTGTCTCACCATTGTGAGCTTCCATCCTGTATCAAGCTGAAGAACTGAACAGAAACCATTGCTCAGAGGTATTCTGAATTGTTAGAATCATCTTGTTTGTATCTTTGTGATTTTACCTATCCTGTAACTTAAGCCTCTTATTCTTTGCATACTCCCTGACACAAGGGTTCAACAGACCCTTGTGTCAGGGAGGAAGGCCCTTCCTGCCTCACTTTAGTGCCACCTAGCTACAAGCTGGAGCATGTGAAGGTAAAAAAATAAATGTCATCCAACACCGGAGAACCATGGAGTGGAGTAGCTTTACAGATGCAGATGAGGTCTTTATGACACACCACACCTCAAACTCCACATCATTAGTGTCAGCGTTGGACGGCTGGTTTTAAATACGCACTCTGTATTCAAAGCTGAAATAAGATGGCTTTGTGTTGGCTTTCTCCTGTTTGAAATGACACAAGTGCTTTACGAGCCCTTTGAAAAGCGCTTCCCCTGCTCATTAAACGCTCACATCCTCATATCTATTCAAATATATGGGTGCAAAAATGATATTCCACGTCTGCTTTGACAGCCACACTTGAGCCTTTGTTGATGACACTCAACAACGGCGCATTATTATATGTTATTGCAGCCGTCTGAAGCTGGGAGAAAGCAGAGCCTAAAATGCCTCCCAGAGTGATGACCAGGCATTTCCCAGCACTCCGCTCATTTTCTCTAACTGCACTCCGCTCCCCCTAAACCCGTCCCGTCCCACCCCGCCTCCGCTCCTCATAGCATAGCTTCACTTTTTGACTTGAATCAACAACATCACAAGTGGAGCCAAATCGCAACAGCAGCAGAGCAGCAGCGTGTCATGGAGATGCGACTCTTTCTGTCTGGGTTGGTGTATAATTATGAAAGTGGCAGTGCGTTCGCCTCTGAAAATCTCAGGAGGAGATTCATTTATGCTCTTGTTTTGAAAGCGAAGGCCAAGCCGCGCCGTTCCGTATTGATGTTTGTTTTGGGTTCCATCATTTTAATACAGGTCCGGGACAGGCTTTGTAGAGAAACGCCTCAACATGTTCTCACCAGAGACTCTAACAAGCAGCACTTCTTCATCTTCTCACCTCTCAAGCAAACTAGAGATGCGCAATGGACGGACACGACTTCCCACCGGGCTTTAATTATTAAAGGAATCGTTACCGGTTTAATGTCTCTGTTCATGTTGAATGTGCATATTGAAAATGCCTTTTTT